TCCAAACCAGGCCCTAATCCAGGACCTAACCCCACCCCCTCAGAGCCTTCCTCCTCTTCCTCTGCCCATAACCCACCTCCTTATGCCTCTCCTGTCACCTTCCCACCTCATACGTGGTCTGGCTTACAGTTTAGTCCCTCAGCTACCTCCTCTGCCCCTGCCCAACAATTTCCCCTTTGAAAGGTAACTGGAGCCAAAGGCATAGTTAGGGAGCACGTTCCTTTCCCTTTAACCAACCTTTCCCAAATTAGGCTCCTTTTCATCAAATCCTCCAATACTTAACCCAGTTCTTTAATCTCACCTGGAATGACTTAAATGTCATCCTTACTTCTACTCTCATGCCTGAAAAATTCTTAATATGCATTTTATCACCCAATCAACCCCAACATTACAAAGGTACAGAAATCAAAATCTGGCCTTCAAACCCCACAACGGGAATTAAGTAACCTCACCTTCAAGGTGTTCAATAATAGGGAAAAATCTGCCCGGCAGCAGTGCATCTCAGAACTACAGATGCTTGCCTCTGCCGTAACACAAACCCCAGCCACACCATCGGCTCACAAAGACTTCAAAGTGCCCAGACTGCAGCATGTCCAGCTGCCCCTCCTGGACCTTGCTTCAAGTGTCGGAAACCTGGCCACTGGACCAAGGAATGCCTGTAGTCCAGAATTCCTCCTAAGCCCTGCCCCATCTGTGCGGGGCCCCCACAGAAAGTCAACTGTCTGACTCCCATTGCTGCTCCTAGAGCTCCTAAAGCTCCAATCCTTGGCTTGGCAGCTGAAGACTAACAATGCCCGAGCATCTCGGAAGCCCCCTGGACCATCACAGAGGCCAAACTTCGGGTAACTCTTACGGTGGAGGGCAAGTCCATTCCCTTCTTAATCAACATGGAGGCCACCCACCCCACACTGCCTTCTTTTCAAGGACCTGTCTCCTTGGCCTCCATAACTGTTGTGGGAATTAAGGGCGAGGCCTCCAGACCTCTCAAAACTCCCCAGGTCTGGTGTCAATTAGGCCAGCACTCCTTTCCACATTCTTTCGTAATCATCCCCACTTATCCAGTTCCCCTGTTAGGCCGGGATATCCTAGCAAAATTGTCTGTCTCCTTCAGTATTCCTGGGCTACAGCCACATCTCATTGCCACCCTCCTCCTTGAATCCGTACCTCCCTCCATGCTCCCCTTATGTCCCCTACCTTAATCCTAGGGTGTGGAACACTGCCTTCCCTTCCATTGCTACAAGTCACTCACCCCTCATCAACCCCTTTAAACCTAACCACCCTTACCCTGCCCAGCGCCAGTCCCCCATCCCACAACAGGCTTTAAAAGGTGTAAAGCCTGTTATCACCTGTCTATTGCAACATAGCCTTTTAATTCACCCTCCTGCTTCTTCAGCATCTATACTCCAAGGGGTATCATGTATTCCCTTCCAAAGCCCAAATTTCTTCCCCTATCCTAGCTGTCCAAAAAGCCAGACAAACTCTACAGACTAGTTCAAGAACTCTGCCTCATCAATCAGATTGTAATTCCCATCCACTTGGTTGTACCAAACCCCTATACCCTCCTATCTTCCATACCCCCTTCCACAACTCATTCTTTTGTTCTTAACCTCAAAAACTCTTTTTCTAAAGCCCAAATTTCTTCCCCATCTGTTATAATCTTTCGCCAGCATACACACACCCTCCCTGCCAATGGTATACAGTTAATTTCCCAAACCCCAATCCCATCCACTAAACAACAGCTCATCTCCTTCCTAGGCGTTGTAGGATACTTTCGCCTCTGGATGCCAGGTTTTTGTCCCTGTAACCAAACCGCTTTATGAACCTACGAATGGAAACTTAGCTAACTCCATAAACCAAAAATCCTTCCCCCATTCTTCCTTTTGGTCGCTAAAGAAAGCCTTAGAGACAGCCCCTGCACTAGCGCTCTCCAACCCCTCTCAACCCTTCTCTTTCTACACAGCAGAAATAAAAGGCTGTGCCATCAGAATTTTTACACAGGAGCCAGGCCCACAGCCTGTGGCCTTTTCATCCAAACAACTTAACCTGACAGTCCTGGGCTGGCCCTCATAACTACGCACGGCAGCAGCTGTTGCTCTAATACTCTTAAAATCCCTAAAAACTGGCCAGGCGCGGTGGCTCACGCCTATAATCCCAGCACTTTGGGAGGCCGAGGCAGGTGGATCACGAGGTCAAGAGATCGAGACCATCCTGGTCAACATAGCGAAACCCCGTCTCTACTAAAATTACAAAAAAAATTTGCTGAGCATGGTGACGCACTCCTGTAGTCCCAGCTTCTCAGGAGGCTGAGGCAGGAGAATTGCCTGAACCCAGGAGGCGGAGGTTACGGTGGGCCGAGATCGCGCCATTGCACTCCAGCCTGGGTAACAAGAGCGAAACTCCTTCTCAAAAAAAAGAAAAAAAAAATCCCTCAAAACCACAGGCTATGTCCCACTTACCCTCTATAACTCTCGCAACCTCCAAAGTTTTCTCTTTACACTTCATACACTTACTTTCAGCCCCTCACCTTCTCCAGCTTTATGCAGTTGCCCCTACTACTTAAATCATACCTCAAAAATTCTGTTTCTATTATTTTCTGTCTAACTGTAATCACTGTACTCATTTACTTTTACATGCCCTGCTTTTAAGTTGCTGGTTTACAGTTTTCCTCCAGGCAATTACAGCTAATATTTCACTCTTAATCTGGCTCCCATTCTCGGCTCATACTCAATCTTGTTAATAAAAGTGAGTGCTTGCTTATACATACCACACACACACTTCCTCATACACCATGAAAACAAAAGCTCTCCCTCCACAGTTACCCTACCAGGCTCCGCTACAACCTTTAACAGCTGCAGCCCTTGCTGGTTCCTTTGGCATTTGGGTCCAAAGAGCCAGCCCCCTCAGAACACTTTCTCACCTTTTCAGTTTACACTTCCAGTTCTAAGCCAAGAACCGTTTTTTTTCCTCTGTGGTTCTTCTTCTTACGTCTGCCTTCCTACCAACTGGACAGGCACTTGTACCCTAGTTTTCCTTACTCCCAAAATTCAGTTTGCCAACGGGGACAAAGGCCTCCCTGTTCCCTTTGTGGTCCAGACACAACACAAGTGGGTCATTCTATTCATGCCCTTACTCGTAGGGTTAAGAATTACTGCACTAGGCACAGGCATTTCCACTTCAATTGGCACCTACCGTAGCCTCTCTAATAATTTCTCCACCAGCTTTGAAGAATTAACTCAATTATCATCCCTCGTTCAAGCTCAAGTAAATTCCCTAGCTGCAGCTGTCCTTCAAAACCGCAGAGGTCTTAATTTACTGACTGCTAAAAAAGGTCTTTGCCTATTCCTAAATGAAGAATGTTGTTTTTATGTAAACGAGCCTGGCCTTGTATGTAATGCCATCAGTAAATTAAAAAACAAAGCCCAAAAGCTCACTAATCAGGCAAATGGTTATTCTGGACCTGGCTGGACTGGCTGGACACTCCCTTACTGGGAGTCACGGCTTCTTCCAATCCTTAGTCCTCTAATACTATCTCCTTCTCTTATTTGGACACTGTGTTTTTCCAATTAATCTCTCAATTCCTACAAAATTGTATATAAGCAATAACCAATCAGTCAATACAACAAATGCACCTTCTAACAACCCCACAACATCACCCCTTTCCCCGAGATCTCCTAGCATCTAAATTCTTTCCCAATTTTAGGTTTCCACGATGCCCTCAATCACACACAAAGTAGCCTTGAAAATTTCTGCCCCAAAACCTATTATCACCCCCTCTTCTCTAATTCTTTCTCTCTCTCTATAAAAAGACTGGTATGTCAGGCCTCCATGTGCAAGCCCAGACTCAGAAAGTCTGAAGTCCTGCCTGCCTCGGCTGATCACCCCCTCACCCCCTAACCTGAGTTCGCCATTATCCCTGATAGCCCAGAGGAGCTGGTTAAGATGGCTCACCCCACCCTGCCATCTTAACTGTTATTATGATAATGTAAATACTCTCTACCCGACCCTACCACCTTAACTACTTACCCCACTCGCCATTGTAACTGAACTTATGGTAATGTATATTCCTTACCCCTACCCCCACCACTGTAACGAATGTTACTCTGTAAGTTTCCACTGCCCACCCCAAATCTATAAAAGCAACTCCTATCCCACTGCCCTTCGCTAACGCCCTTTTTGGCCTTAGCCCACCTGCACCCAGGTAAATAAACAGCCATGTTGCTCACACAAAGCCTGTTTGGGGGGTTTCTTCATTCAAAGCATGCATTTTAACAGCTCAGAATAAATCTCTTCAAATTACAGAGTTTGACTCCTTTAGTTGACATCTAGAAATGTTAGGTTTAGTCACAGACTAAATAAGAATAGGACACTTAAAGCAGCCATATTTTAAAATCATCTAGAAATCCAATAGGGGCTATATTTAACCAAACATTTTAAAGTGCCATTTTAAAGCAAAATCACATCAAGTTGAGTTTCAAACAGGATCACCACTACCACTGATTTTTCATTATCCAGGCTTCGCTTCAACTATTAGTCTTGCCTTATTTGTGTTCTAGTCTCCCCTTTTTGTCTTGCTGTGTGGCTTCTGATTGCAGATACAGTATTTACTAATTTTCACTCAGTTACAGAGAATGAAGAGCAAAAGCTACAATGAGATGAACATTGCTTATTAATTATGATTATAAAGCTTTGATGGAAGAAGCGGTTGGGCCTAATGTCCCAAATAAGACTGTGGCACCAGTCCTGTGAGTGTATCATACAGGCAGCCATTAGCAGGGAACACCAATTGCTGGCTGTGTCCTATTTTTGTATTCATATCTAACAGTATGCATAATTCTGACCCCCAACTCTTAAACTATATGAAGATTTAAAGACTTAGTTATTTTCCAAAACTGTAAGATTATTAAAGTGCAGTTCATATAAATAAGAACTGAGAGATGCTTGTTATGAAAGATCTTCGTTTCAGTGTTGGGCAGTCTATTTCCTACCACACTGCTACTCACCTTATTCCTTGTTCTGTAAATGGCACTGGTCCACAAATGCAGACAAGAACTCTGGATTTGTCCAAATTTCTTTTCAAAAATTCAGAAAGAAGAGCTGGTGAAATATGTCCCTGTTTGCCATTCCATTCAGAAGTAGGTGCTGAGAGAACAAATTCAACATCCAGTCTAAGGAAGAGAAAAACAGTTTTTTAAAGTTTATTATTTTAAACGAATTACTAACATGTTTCAAGTTCAAGAATATAATTCTCCCCTAAAAGAACAATTTAATATATAAAGACTGACACACTTGCTAGAAAACCACTTGAAAAACATTGTAAGACTTAACAAAAACATATAGGTAAATCTATATTTACTAAGGATTATTTTTTCCTGTAGATAAGGAATGCAATTTGGCATTTAAAAAAATTGAACTAATTAAAAAGAGAGCTCTGGCCAAGCATGGTAGCTCACACCTGTAATCCCAGCACGCTGGGAGGCCAAGGCAGGAAGAATATTTGAGAAAAGGAGTTTGAGACCAGCCTGGGCAACATAGTGAGACCCAGTTTCCACACAGACACAAAAATTGTTTAAATTTAGTCAGGTGTGGTGGCATGTGCCTGTGGTCCTAGCTATTTGGGAGGCTGGGGCAGAAGGATCGTTTGAGTCCAAGAGTTCAAGGCTGCAGTGAGCTATGACTGCACCAGCCTGGGCAGCAGAGCAAGAACTTGTCTCTTAAAAAAAAATTAATTTGGCTGGGCACGGTGGCTCATACCTATAACCCTGGCACTCTGGCAGGCCAAGATGGGCGGGTCATGAGGTCATGAGTTCAAGACCAGCCTGGCCAACATGGTGAAACCCATCTCTACTAAAGACACAAAAAATTAGCTGGGCATAATAGCATGAGCCTGTAGTCCCAGCTACTTGGTAGACTCAGGCAGGAGAATGAACCTGGGAGGTGGAGGTTGCAGTAAGCTGAGATTGTGCCATTGCACTCCAGCCTGGGGGACAGGGTGAGACTCCATCTCAAAAAAAAAAAATTAGAAATAAATATATAAATGAAATAGATATTCCAAGGGATCTCAGAGAACTCCACATTTCTATTAATAATCTACTGGTATTGGAAAAAAAGAACAAATATTGCATGTTCTCACTTATAAGTAGGAGCTAAACTCTGTGTACACAAGATCATAAAAATGAGAACAACAGACGCTGGGGACTCCAAAAGCAGGGAGGTGCAGGGAAATGGGGAGGGCTGAAAAGCCTCCTAAGCCTCCTATTGGGTACTTTGTTCACTGTGTATGTGATAGAATTAATAGAAACCCAAATTTCAGCATCACACAATATACCCTTGAAACAAATCTGCACATGTACCCCTTAATCCAAAATAAACAATCATAAAACGCCGGTATAAATCACAGTAAATAGCAATTACGAGTGACACATTTTAATCTCTGGCTCAAACCTCTCCAATGATTTCCAAACCCTTAAAACCAGTCTGATTGAGAAGCCTATTTGACTTCTTACTGTCGCTGTCTCAAAGTCTCTCAACTTCATGATCTCCGTAACTGGTACCAGTCTGCTTGATTGTACAAGCCAGACACCTGGGATTTATCCTGGGACCCTCTTTCTATCTCACCCTCCATATCCAATTCAACACCAAGTCCTGGCTCTCACTCTGTTTACCTCTCAGACTTCACTGCCATAAGACTGCCTGTTCTATTTCTTCTTTCTGTAATGGGTTTACCACTCCCACCCTTCAGTTTTCAGCTCAAGCATCGTTTCCACATGCAAATACTGCACCTCCACAAGGCTGAGGCCTTTGTTGCATGTGCTGTAGCAATGTTTTCCTTTTCCTTTTCTTCATGCCATTTACTTCAGGTTGTAAATAAGTGGTCACTAAGCTTATCATCTATTGTCTACCTTCTCCAATAGACCCTAAACTCCATGAGAACAAGGGCCATGTCTGCTTTGGCTATCACTGTATCCCTAGAGGCCAACACACAGAAGGCACCCACACACTATGGAATGAAACAGATGAAAGCAAAAGGTACAGGATTAAAATGGGAAAGAACAACATCAAAGTCTCACAATGAAACAACAGACCATTTCTTCCCACAGGCTTAGTAATCTATTACAAAAATTGCTGGTGAAAAGCCATAGTAAATTCAAAATTCTATGTTGTACCTGCTCTGTCTGCTCTGTTTGCTCTGTTTAAGCAAACAATTAATTCTGACCATTTCAATAGCATCAGATCAAAAGCATTTCTACATGTTCCAGTGAGTAAGTGAGTAGCAGGAATTCATGATACATTAATTTAAACCACATGAAAAAGCTGAAGTGAACAATTTCTCTTGTGAGGGACAAGGGAACTAAATATTGAAACAGAAACAAGGTATGGTTGGTACAGCTGCCCTCACATTGCTGTGCCTCAGCTGGATTAAGTTTCCCAAGAACAAAGAAGCCTGGCACAAGCAGTACAGACCAAAGAAGAGCAGGAGCAGGAGGCTAGACAGCTAGCCTCAGCTCTGCACACACTCTCCAGTCTCTAGGGAGTGTCCATTTGTGGAATGAGGCTGGGAAATAAGTAATATCTTACAATTCTAATATTCTATGATTTTATAATAAAACACCTACAGAATTATGTTTTCTTATCTTCAATCTTCCCATTTAGTATTAGTAGCAATGCGAATCCACTCTACAGTCTCCCTAAAGGCTAATGCACAAAACAGCCTCCCCAAAGATATTCACTAACCTATTTTTACCTTCTGAGCACTTAAAACTAAGATAGTTTTAAATAACGTCAGGATGTGATATTTGCTCACTGCTCCATGAGGGCAGGGTGCTTGTCTGTCTTGTTCAATACTGTATCCAGGCCTCGTTCAATTAAGCACACAAAAAAAATGCTTGTTGAATAAAGAAGTATATTTATAAAGACGCCATGTTGGCTAAAAATAAAAATTGTACTTAAAAGAACAAAGCCATGTGCTGGCATCCATAAAATTGCATATAAAAATGCTATGAATTCATATGTGTATTTTTCTGGAAAAAAGATCCATAATCTTTCTTTCATCAGATCAAAAGGTCAAAAGCAGCCATAAAACCAGTGTCATAAATTTCCAATTACACATAGATATTTGAATAAAATGTGGAAATTGTCTTGTTAAATTAAAAGATAAAAGATGGTCTCCTGTGGCTCTATTTGAAATGAGCCTATCACTGGAATAAACTGCTAAATTAATGCTGAAGTCTCTGTAGTCTGCCATAAGCACCTAGTCATAATTTTCCTTTACTGGGATGCTTTATAAAAAAGCCTAATCAGTGGTATATTTTCTGCAGGTATCTACTAAATGGTGATAAATAACAGATCCTTACATAAATGGTATAAACTTCTTATGCATTTTGTATTTATTCGCATAAGGGTCCCTTGACTATAATTTTACGCACTCAATGGAAAAGGTGAACAGAAAGTGTGGCTGTAAATTAAGGATTTGTAAAGAGGCTGTTATCCTGCTTATCTCCTTTTTCATAGGCTGAGAAAGAGCTTAAATTGGAACAGGAGCATTCACAAGTTAAGACTCAATAATTCTTTAATGAAATATTTTTTATATCAAAATATAGATAGTTCCTGTGGAATCCTCTCTCCCGGGTTTTCTGAATGAAGGTCAACATACTGTCTAAAATAATTACAGCTTTGAGACGCTGGAGACGTGGGGGCACACAATAAACATCCTGAAATTCCTCTATAATTTCAAAAGTGCCAGAAGGCATTAGGACTCTTGAAAAGGTTACCTGAAAATAAATTCAGATAACCCATAAAATGCAAAATAACATGAAAGAGGGAGAGAATAGACCTGCTTCTGATGAATGCAATCTCAAATGTAACTATAGGTAAATAAGTTTGTCAAAAATTTATTTTAAAGTAGGCTGATAGTGATCTGAGATGACAAGTCTTGAAATACAAATGTACTCATTTAGTCTAAATTATTAGCAGTCATCCAACGACTTATTCCCTCCTCCTCTAGCCAATCAACTTCTGCAACTTATCTCCTTCATATTTCTCACAAAGTCCCTTACCTGCCCATTTTTACTGTCACAACTCCAGATCCGGCTCTTATATCTCTTGTCTAAAATATTACATTAATAGGCTTAACCCTTAATCTATTTGATATGCTATTGCCATATTAGTTCCCCTAAAAACTCTGATACAACTTTGCAACATTTTTGCTTAAAAGCTTCAGTGATTCCTCACTGTTCACAGATTAGTATTTCAGAGTACTTGGGCCCCAGCTTTTCCTTCTTTATTTTCTAGCTAAAGAAAATGCCTGCAACTACAGTAAAAGTTGCTATGTGCTCACAGACAAAAACGCTCACAAAACTAGGAGTCAAAATTAGATAAAACATACATAATTCTGGAAATATTTCTCAAAATGAATCTAATGAAACACTTGTATGCCTCCAGATGTTAGTAGTTATTCCATGAAAGCAGACTATCAAATAAGTCTGTGACATAGTGGATTAAAAAAAGTTAAATATATTTTGTTAGAATATAAGAAAGGCTTAAATATGCTAAGTTCAGAGTAAATCCTCAAGAAGAAATATACTATTTCCCAAATTTATTCAATCATAGAGTACATTCAGGGAAACACATTAACGTTTCAAAGAACACATTCCAAGCAACATAACACCAAAGAGCATCTCCTGGAACAAAACAGAATGTGCTGTAAGGGTCCAGATTAGTGGGCTGCATATCTGTGTGCATAAGAGGCTGGGGAAAAAGAAACCAGTTCAGGCATACTGTTCAATTTATTTCTGCTTCTGGCATCAAGGGCTTTTGCTATCTTAAATGGAACTGCCACGTTGCTAGTCCCACTACTGACAACAGAAGACAAAAACATATAGTCCAGGGAGCCTGTCAGCACTACAGGAAGATGAACTGCAGAGTGTCACTGTGCCTTCTTCCTATGCCTATCTGACACATAATATTTACTTCACATACGAATTACATTCAAGGTCTTCAATCACTGATTTTAGCCTATCTTGTTTCTTCAAGTGTAAACAAAAAGGGATAGAAATAACTACTAAGATTCCTTCTAAAACTGATACAAAGTTTAATGGGTTTATTTTTAGTTATTCTGCATCATCCTCCTTCAGGCACAGCATTTATTTCAACAAAACGACTCTGTTCTGTCACTAAAACACCAGAATGTCCTGGCTCTCATGTCCTTACTCATGCAATCCCACTACTCAAATTTATTTTCCCACTCAAAGAAATGCTAGTGATTTCCCAAAGCCCAGCTCAAAAACCCCTTCTTCCATGAAGCTCTGATATTCCTACCCTCACAGCAATGGGATTACTCTTTTCACTAGATATCTATGGTATGCTTTTTATTCCTCTTAAGGCACAGACTTCACAGTTACTGATATACTTCAGAACTTCACCACCACTAGGATAGTCTGCTTTCTTATATTTTTGTAATGTCAAGCGCATTTTGCAGATAGCACACAAATGTTTAAAGAGATATAAATGGTCTTTTATCTTCTGTTGGTGCATATAAGTGGGTAAATTGTCCCCTTTCCTTTGTGACCCATTTCCTTGCTGCTTAGAATCCCTTTCTTTCCTCTCTCTCTTTTGCCTCAACTAACCTCCCATTCCACTCTAGTGTAAAACTAATGACACTAACAATATCATTGTTAATAACATTGTCAGTATTAATGTCACTGTCGATGACAATGTGCTGGATGCAGTATTCTCTGTTAAGTGACTTCACTTTCAGAGGCTGTGTGTCACAATATAACATGCTGGAGAAGATCAGGAGAAATAGGAATGCTTTTACACTGTTGGTGGGAGTGGAAACTACTTCAACCATTGTGGAAGACAGTGTGGCAATTCCTCAAGGATCTAGAACCAGAAATACCATTTGACCCAGCAATCCCATTACTGGGTATGTACTCAAAGGATTATAAATCATTCTACTGTAAGACACATGTGCATGTATGTTTATTGCAGCACTATTCACAATAGCAAAGACTTGGAACCAACCCAAACGCCCATCAATGATAGACTAGATAAAGAAAATGTGGCACATATACACCACAGAATACTATGCAGCCATAAAAAAGAATGCATTCATTTCCTTTGCAGGGACACAGATGAAGCTGGAAACTATCATTCTCAGCAAACTAACACAGGAACAGAAAACCAAACACTGCATGTTCTCACTCATAAGTGGGAGCTGATCAATGAGAACACATGGACACAGGGAGGGGAACATCACTCACTGGGGCCTGTAGGGGGTTGGGAGGCAAATGGAGGGATAGCATTAGGAGAAATACCTAATGTAGATGATGGGTTGATGGGTGCAGCAAACCACCATGGCATATGTATACCTATATAACAAACCATCATGTTCTGCACATGTATCCCAGAACTTAAAGTATAATAATAATAATAAAATGTTATCAACAGCCTTAGAACACTTTGACCTAATGATTCGTCTGATATATTTTTATTCTGAAGAGTTAGAAAGGTACTGAACAATTTCTAGTCACTATGTCAAATAGTATGGAATTGGCTAAATAAATTATGGTATGCTCACGACTGAACACAATGAAGTTATTAAAAATCACAGTATATTGCAGGATTTACTAACTGGCACTACTAGTACTTCGGATGGATAATTCTTTGTTGTAGGGGGGCTGTCCTGAGCATTGTAAGATACTTTGTAGCATTCCTGGCCTCTACCAACCAGGTGTAGTAACTCCTTTTTCCCCAGTTGTAACAATCAAAAATGTCTCCAGATATAAATGTTTCTGTGGTGGCAGAGCTGCTCTAGATTGAAAACCACCTGGTGAAAATACTCTTTATGTAAAAAACACACAATACAGTAAGTAGAAACGTAGTTAAAAGGATAGTCAGTCTGACTACATTATTTTAAATATATAAAACAAAAAGGTAGATATGTATATGAATAGAAAGATACAGTCCATAATGTTAATAATTGTTCTTTGGGTGGTAGGATTATGGGTGATTTTTTTCTTTTCTATATAAACCTTTTCTATATAAACATGTATTAATTTTATAGACAGAAGGGAAAATCAACAAATGCTGTTTATAATGTTCTACTACCTTTACTAAAATAAGGTTAATGGTCTCTAAGAATGATTGATTTGAAATGAAAGGAAAATACCTGTTATATTTATATACCAGAAAATGTTTTCTAGAAGTCAGCCTCATTGTCAAACTGTCCCACCTGTCCCATCCCACAAAACTAATTCTACAAAAGCAGAGATCTCACAGAGCTAGGGCATTCTGCTGATAGGAGTGAGGGGTGATGGGCAATGTGTGCTGAATGAACTGAGCCTCATAACACTGCTCACATACTTGAGAGAAGGGTAAGTGGCATTTATTTTGGATTTCAGTTTACATAATTAAATCTGCTACTGCACATATTTGCCTTCTTTCTCTCATTTTTCATAAGAAAAATATGTGTAAGATTTTGCTAGACTTGGAATGTTGTGAATTGAATCCCAAGTGCCTTAAATGCTAACTAAAAGACAGTTGTGACTAATTAAAATGACCCCAACTTAAATGTTAACTTTCACTTTCCTATTTTGTAGGGAACACAATAATTATGTGTTGGCTGACGAGGACTATCAAATCCCATCAATAAGCCTTTAAGGGCTTGACCTAACCTCATTCCGAAAAAAACCATGAGTCTATGGGGATCATAAATCACACAATACTAGGAGTCAGTGCCTCCAGAGTGTCTCAAGCAAGGAAAGCAAAGTCTCCAGAAAGAGGTTAGGGAGGAGAGAGAAAGAGCACACACTAGCCAGCAAGGGAGAGAAAGAAGAGAAAGAGAAGGAACAGTAGAGGGAGGATAAAGGCAGGCCGGAAGTTGGAACACTATCACTTCTCTCAGCAAGCTAGAGAGTGCCACTCAGCCAGTGAGTGCTGTTAGAGCCAGGCATTCAGAAGTGAAAAAAAAGCGGCCTTTCTTCATCCTCAAAACTGCAGCCTATGCAATTTCACAAACCCAAATTAAGTAGTCAAAACAAAACAAACCAAATAACACAGTTGACTTTGTTAAAGATACTTTAAGTTCAGAGACTGTCAATACATTCCTTTTTACCAATTAATTTATAAATCAAGTTGAAGTCCTATTAGTACAATGTCTATTCTTAAAAAAAAAAAAAAAAATTTACAAAATTTCTTTTCTTTTTTTTTTTTTTAAAGACAAGGTTTCACCGTATTGGTCAGGCTGGTCTTCGCTGTATTGGTCAGTGAAACCCAACTCACCATAAATCACATAATATGATCATAAAGCCCAATATACATCTTAATGACACATATATAATGTTGCCTAGATTTTACCAGAAAGTGTTTCTTTGAGAGAAGAAGAACATTTGATATGATTTACAGTTAGAGAATTATTGGGTTTATTTTTTTTCTTTGAAGGAGCTTCCTGGCCAATCAAAACTCCAACCAGAGAAGATAAGGCCTAGACTTTTAAATTAAATTAAATTAAATTAAATTTTATTGCACTTTAGGTTCTGGGGTACATGTGCAAAACATGAAGAATTGTTGCATAGGTACATATATGACAATGTAGTTTGTTGCCTCTATCCCTGTCACCTGTATCTGGCATTTCTCCCCATGTTATCCCTCCCAAACTCCCCACCCCACACTGTCCCTCCCCTAGTCCCCAGGCCTAGACTTACTTCATAAATAACTAAATGCAGAGTTATTAACAGTTTAATACCTTTTATCTTTAAATGCTAATTTCTCCAATTGGCTTCTCCAAATTATATCATCCTCTGTTTTATTGAAGAACATCAGCTTCACTTTCCTTAAAAGAAAAAAAAAAACTCAGAAAGAACTAATTAATTACATTTAAAATATGAGAAATGGAAAGTCTAAAGTGAACCAGTGTGAATGTTTTAGTGCCCAGTAGGTAACTACAATCATCAAACACTGAAATGAGATAAAAGAACCTAGTTAAATAGCTAGGATTAGAGGAGGGAAGTAAGAAATGATGAATGAGGAAATGGGAATATGTCTATTAAGATCCAGCGAGTAATCAATTGAGAATAACTTATACTAATATAACAGCCTCAAAAAGGAAAATTAGAGACAAAATTACATACCTGAGAGTGGGTATATCTGTCAAAGCATAATTCAGTATTTTAACCATTGGTGTGAAGCCTGTTCCAGCTGCCAACAAAAAGAGATCCTCTAATTCTTGAAATTCGGATATTTTAAAAGTGCCCTCAGGACTGCTCATAGAAACAAAATCTCCTAAACAATGAAATATAAACTACATCAGAAAAAAACAAAAAACCCAGCAGAGAAACTAAGAAGCCAAAATTACCTGAATTTACAACACTGCGGAGTAACAATATACATACTTAACGTGCAAACTATGTATCAGTCTTTAAGTAGTCTTAAGGATACTCGTTAGGCCCCCAAGTACATCTGAATTATATCATTATAATCAAATTAATAATGAGGTTTTATGATATAATTTCCCACCACTATTTTCCCAAACCATCTGAAGTCTGAAATTTACAAACTACTGCAAAGTACTTATCCACAAATTATCAATAAATGATTGATTGCTAAACTAAATTTTAAGTACTTTAAAAGCAGAGTACATATATATCTGTCTTGCATGGTAAAGAACAAAGAATAGATATTCACTATTTACATATGATTCTTAACCATAGTAAAAGGATTAGTAGGAGAGAAAATTGAAATAGAAATATATTCTAAAAACTTATGTTGACAAACACATCAACTTCTCTTCTACCAAATTTTTAAAAAGACCTATTAATTTAGAAGGGCTGTTCTGATTTTAATTCCCATAAAAACAAAGCAAGATCAGAAATGCAGTCAACTGTACTTGGAGCATGCCACTTTCCAATCTATAATCAACACAGTAGAGAAATCAGTGCCCATTTTCTACAGTCCAGTTGATATAATCACCATGTACCATTCATATAAGAAAACCACCTTTACAACTAGATTAAGAAACTTGAAACGTAATCTTAAAATGAAAAATAAATCTGTCTATAAATGATTTATCCTATTTTAAAATGCTTGGGTGCTTATAACTTTTTCTTTGTTTTCCATTGCAGGATAGTAAGAATCTTGCAGTAACTGATGAAATAAGTATTTGAAAATAATAGAATCTTCTTGCTATAATTTGTAAAAGACTGTAAGATCAGAGTGTCCTTAGGAAAAAGCCAGATAGTTGTTTACTAAAGAAGTATCAGAGGATAGTATTAACTTGGTAACTTTTACCCACAGCCTAGTCTTTCCAATGTTAACAAAATTGATTAGACTCTGGTATGATAACTGATGCTAATCAAATTCAGAAGAGGTTATAGCACACATGCCAGAATGGCAATATATTTTGATTTATAGCTGGGGTTACATGCATCTAGTGACTTGAACATGTCCCATTAGGGATATCTTGTTTCCAGTATCAGGACACTTGAAAAGCCAAATTAATCATGTAAAATCATGTTGCTTAGTGAACATGGGATTGAAATAAAGAGATGGATAATTGTATGGGGTCATTCATTTAGTGTACAACTCTCTAAGTTGCTTTCACTTTCTAAACTCTAGGACAACTGTCCACCCTGCTATGTTCACAAAAATCTCTGTAAATAGGCTATAATACCATTCCTTAAGTTTCCACTCATTGTATTACAATCATGTGTCAGTCCTTCTTTCATAAGGTGATAGTTATCTCCTCACTAGATTTGTAGGTACTCCAAAATACTTCAGGTTCAAATTCATATACAATATTTTGGTTTATGTAATCAAGGATGACTAATCATATCTACTATGTGAAGTAGATAAAATCAGCAAAATCATATCTATTAATACATTTCAGAAAGTAATGTAATTTTGTTGACTTCCAAATTTTAGTGATCCACTTCACTGTACCCCTATATACTGCTAATGCTGCCTTGGAAAGAGAAATACTTTCCACAGAAAGAGAAAAGAAAATACAGAAAAAGGAGTAAAAGCAAGAAAAGAGGTTTTTAAATCTTAATAGATTTCATTATAGTTCTGTATTCATTCTTTCAAAGTACATTTACTGGCTGGGCATGGTGGCTCAGACCTGTGATCCCAGCACTTTGAGAGGCTGAGGCGGGCCAACCACCTAAGATTAGGAGTTTAAGACCAGCCTGGCCAACATAGTTAAACCTCATCTCTACTAAAAATACAAATATTAGCTGGCATGGTAGTGTGCACCTATAGTCCTGGCTACTTGGGAGGCTGAGGCAGGAGAATCACTTGAACCCAGGAGACAGAGGTTGTAGTGAGCTGAGATCAAGCCACTGCACTCCAGCCTGGGTGGCTGAGCAGTCTCAAAAACAAAATAAACAAACAAAAAAACAAAGTACATTTACTGACAGCTTATTATGTACCAACTGCCTTGCCAGGCGTTGAAAATATAAAGATAAGTAAGGCCATTTCTGCTCTTAAACTCAAAGTCTTGTAATGAAGGAATATATTTACTCTTATAATAGAGCTATGAACAAACTGTTAGTTATTGGGGGTTTCAGGGGAGGAGGAGGGCTCCATAAAGTGATATTATGCTTGATTCTTTTTATTTTTATTTTTACCATTATTATGTTCTGAGACCGAGTCTTGCTCTGCCCAGGCTGGAGTGCAGTGGTGTGATCTCGGCTCACTGCAACCTCTGCCTCCTGGATTTAAGCAATTCTGCCTCAGCCTCCCAAATAGCTGGGACTATAGGTGCTTGCCACCAGGCCCAGTTAATTTTTGTATTTTTAGTAGAAATGAGGTTTTCCCCATGTTGGCCAGGCTAGTCTCGAACTCTCGACCTCAAGTGATCTGCCCACCTTGGCCTCCCAAAGTGTTGGGATTACAGGCATGAGCCACCGCACCCAGCAGATGTTGGGTCTTTTTAAAAAAGCACTTGATAAGGGGTTGATGGGCATCTTGGGTGTGGAAACTGCATATACCTGTGTATGAGGATAACAAATCTGTGAAACTGTGAGTAGCACAAGTATTTTTGTATAGCAAGAGATGAAGCTAGAGAGATTATCAAAGTTTACATAGGCCATGCAGTATAGGTAATGGGGACCCATCAGAGGTTTCAAAGCTGCAAAGCAGCTAGGCTCAATTGTGACAAAATGGTTAGAAGCCAACAAAGAAATGATGAAGGCTTACCATATAGAGTGGCAAAAGAGGTAGCTGAAAAAGTCACTGAGATGTAGCCTCAACAGGACTTAGTGGCTGACTGGACTGGGAGAGAGAAAGTGGGAAGAATCAAGAGTTTCCAGAGGGGATCAAGATGAACAGTGATGATGCAAGTAATAAAAACAGGGAATATGGTGTATGGGCATGCTGGGCGGGACAAAGAGAAGATTACCTTGGTTGCAGACATGTTGAGTTAAAGATATTTGATAGGCTCCTACGTGGAGATAACTAGAGAGCAATTTGATCCAACCTACAGCACAAATGAGGTTTAAAAAAATGTAAAAACACTAACCAATCTGAAGACGATCAAGCTCTGGTGTGAAGAGTCCAGTGGGATAGATTTTTATCAAAAAGTAGATGTATTTATTGTTGGGAAGAACTGGTTCCTTGAACTCTGAGAATAAGGAACCAGATACAGGTGTATATGGCTTTACTATTTCTGTACCTAGAAAAAAAAAATCGTAACAAAAAATTAAATTCTAAAATTCAAAAAATTTCTTAATGAAGATGAAACATACAAATTTCCTGATACTATCAGTATATATTTAAAACTATATATCTAATGGGTATATAATTCTAATGATTATTCTATATGTATATAGTATATATATGTATATATACCCCAAGTCTATATGTGCTGAAATAATTTTCACCAATCAATATTGTACCCATAATGTAAACGATCTGTTTTTATTATGTTTAGTCTAATCTAATAGAAATACATGGTAATAATTTTAGACAATCATCTATTCCATCAGCAAATAAACTTTGTAATGGGCCACAACAAAAATGGCATCAAAAGTTTACCATGGAGATGTAAAAAAAAAAAAGTATTTACCTAACAATTTTGATTATACACCAAATTTTTAAAAATGGAAACTGATGACCAATGGGATCATTTGGAGGACAAAGAAGAAATTTCACTTTTTACTTTATGTACTTTAAATGGTTTTAATATTTTAATGCATTATATATTACTTTGGTAACTGAATAAAAAGAATGTTAATCCAGCTACTTCTAAGAAATATATTGATTTCTTTTTCTTTTTTTTTTTTTTGAGATGGAGTCTCATTCTGTCACTCACAATGGAGTACAATGGTATGATCTCGGCTCACTGCAACCACTGCCTCTTGGGTTCAAGCAATTCTCCCACCTCAGCCTCCCAAGTAGCTGGGATTACAGGCACCTGCCATCATGCCTGGCTAATTTTGTTATTTTTGTGAAGATGGGGTTTCACCATGTTGGCCAGGCTGGTCTTGAACTCCTCCTAACCTCAGGTGATCCTCTCGCCTCAACCTCCCAAAGTGTTGGGATTACAGGAGTGAGCCACTGAGCCCAGCCAAATATATTATTTTCTTAAAAAGCAAAATAAGTAAGAATTCATTTTATATTTTTAGGTAGCCAAATTCCAAAGAGAAGAATCACCACTGTTTAAAAGACCACAATTTTATGCTTGGCTCATAAAATTACATAATACATATATAAATTAAAATGCAGTGGCAATAACTGGAGAAGATACCAGCTCTTGAATTAGGTAATCTGGCATTAGTGATGAAAAAGAGAAAACCTTAATAGTGCCCCATCATAATATATCGTATCTACAAAGACCCAGCTAGTAACATTTTAGACTCATTTCTGGAGATACTACAGCTGACAGGAGAATTTTACTGTTTGCAGCTTCAAAAGGCCAAGAAAATGTTGGGCATCAATAAGAAGGGTATTCAAAACAAGTGAGGTAAGAATTCATATTTATACATTTATAGAGCTTCTTATACTGGTAGCACATATAATAAAATCATTTCTCATCATTCATTCATTTTAAATTTTATAGATTCAACTTCATAAATGGTACAATCCTAAGTAGCTACTAAAAGATGTCAGTATGAGCTTCTAGTAGTTGTCTTCATGGAGGACTATTTGCGCAATCTCTCATCTCTTTCCTTTAGGGTTTTGTTAGTAGTAAATTACAATGCTGGTGGAACCATCTCTCTAAACTACTGGCAATATCTTTGTTCCATACGATAATGTGGTACAGCTATAGTTCCAACATGTAGGACATGTTCCAGTCACAAACCTAGATTCTGACTCTCACTAAATCTAGCTGCCTGGAAACATTTATTAATAACTTAAATGGTTCTTTTCTAGGGAGAATAGTACTGATTTTGAACTGCTTATAAAAGAGGAAAACATGTCCCAAAGCCTCTATTTACCTTACCTGTAATAGATAGCTTGAGGTAAACATGTTGCCCAATGGGCACTTGAAGATGAGTGCTTGGTGGCAGCATCAAACAGAAAAGCCTCGTATCATGAGTAACATCTTCCTTGGAAATTAACTGGCATTTTCTGTAGTACAAACCTAAAAAGTGATTCATTTTCTCTTACTGATACATAAATTAATAAGAGGTAATACTAAACCACTAAGAGAAAGCATACACTCAGCTTTTGTTTTCTAGAAAGCTTCAATTTCACTAAAATGCCTACACATTTTAAAAATTCATCAATAAGATTAAATTTTCCATTTTATTTCCTGAGATATTTGTTGTCCAAGACCTGTAAATACTTCTATAATTTGAAACATGAACTTTATGAGTGTTATTCCCTCATATCTGTTATTAGCATATTAAACCATTATGTTCTAAAAAAATAACCTAATTTTATTTGATAATGAATAAATTTACATTCTAAAGTCTTTTTTTTTTTTTTTTTTTAAAGACATAGGGTTTCACCATGTCTCCCAGGTTGGTGTCAAATTCCTGGACTCAAGCAATCCACCTGGCTCGGCTTCCCAAAGTGCTAAGATTATAGTTGTGAGCCACTGTACATTCTCAAGTCTTTTCTTACACAATGGAAAAGTCCTGAAACTAAAGCCTTTAAGGTTTAACAATAATAGTACTATTAAACAATTTTAGAAGATCTCTTTGACAAAGGCAAGAAAAATATACATTCTTGTGTCTCTATGCTGCTATGTATGCATTACAGATATGATCAGAGAACATTTTAAAAATGATTGAAACAAAAACTTCTATGCTGGAAGGTGTAGATTTTGGTATCTGGAAAATTAATTCAAGTGAAAAAGCTTAAGATGCTAGGATTAGGACTATGGTACTAATATACAAGTAGATAAAAGGAATCAAATATTTCAATAAATACTAGAAAAATTTGAAATTAATATCCCAAGCTCAGAAAATATTGTTTGTATACAGAGTAAATAATACCATTTGAATTAGAAGAATTATAGAAGTTCTGAAAGAATTAAGAGTTTCACTTGTAAATTCTCTTTGAACATAAACTGCATATCAGAGTAATGTGAAGATATTAACTTTTTATTTCCTCTCTCCTTAAATAGTATTTACATAGATGTAAAGGAATGAACCCTGATACCACATTTCTTATTCTAGTTATTCTCTCTTTTTTAACCCAAAAATATTCAAGTAGGTGCAGAAATATTTTCTCCAGATCTTAGAAAGTGAAGGTCCAACAGCTAATAATCAGTGCTTAGTGGGAAACTGAAATTCACATATAATCTTAAGAAAACATTTTAGCCACATGTGAATCCAACTTCCCTTTTCCCTTTTGCTCCCCACAGATCAGTTACTCAATTTTCCACCTGCTATCATGGTAGCAGTAAGTACATAAGCTTCAAGTACATCATTTCATGCAAAGACCTTGGAGTGCCACTAGAGGTCATCTCACTCTAGTGCCAGGGCACGGGCTTGTACCAGATTATGGCTAAGAGCCCACCCTAAAGTTATCCTGGAAGGCCTAACAAGTACTGGACTAACTAAAGGGTCAAAAGACATAGGCCCATGCACAAGGAGAAATGAAGGTGCAAATGATCTCTTTATTTCTTTTTCCAGACCCTTTCTACATCCCACAGTAAGAATACAACTAGAGACCCACATACTATATACCTATAAATACTTGACAGTTATAAATCTGACAAATAATTGTCAAAGTATGTTCTATGCTCTATCTTGAAATATATACCTTCACAGGGTCCTAGAAGGCTAGGTTCAAATTCAGGATTCTTAAACTCCTCAGAGTATCAGCAAGATGAGAGAGGAATGAGAGACCTGAACTCCCACTGCCTGCCTACCTTGTCTTCTTGTTCTTGGTTCTCTGACAATGATGAGGGGCTCAAATGGGTATGGACACATTAACCCACAGGCTCAAGCTCATGCACTAGCTTTCCACATAAACAGCCCTGGCCACTCCTTGGATAGAAGTAGATTTGGGATCATTTGGGCAGGTAATTCCACACTCTAGATACCTGGAGTGTGAAGTTGAAAGAAAGAGAATGAGCTTCAGGTGGATACTTCATGGCCTTGCAATACTCCTCACCTTGTGGGAGGGGAGTAGCTGGAGATAGTCACATAGGGCTCTCCATGTGTGGAACCCAGTGAAGGTGCCCCTCTTGCCCAGGTCTAAGGGCCATAGTGTTTTCCTCTAATAAAATCTAGTGCATATCATCTTGATAACTTTACAACTGGATGAAAATGCTCACCTTCTGGATTGACAATTTCTACTCTAGTATTTGCTAGAAAAGTTTGCTATAGTAAGTATGCAACTCTACAACCATATTTAAAACACAAGGAAATCCTGGGTTACAGTGATTTACTGACTTTCCTTGTTAGAGAGTTGACACAGCATTCTTGTTATTTAACATTACTGAGATAATTTCAATATTTTACCCATAATTTCAAAAGAGCATCCTAACTATAGGTTCTAAGAGTTTTAACAAAGATTTAAGGACGTTTTCATGGTTCAATTGCATCAAGGAGAAAGATAGCTCAGACGGATGGGAACTGCAGCATATGAGAAAAAAAAGTATAAAGCAGATGGCACTGACTACTTCAGTCTGCACAATGCCATTATTTAACAGTTGGGTTTTTGGCTTTCTAAGCACAGATAATTATAAGAGAAATGAGAAACTGAAAATAAAGACAGTAAAACAGAAACATAAGACAGAAATATTACTGTCCTAAATACCTAATCTATTTGAATTAAACACATACAATTAATATTGAGATACTCAGGGTAAGGTGGAAACACTGAGGATAACATGACTATTTGGGCATACTCTTTTCTTAATGTTAAAAAAAACTGTACTTTCCTTTCTAAAAAACAGAATTTCACAAGGCAAAAATAGAAAACACAGGCAAACTCTTTAATGGAAGACAGAAGAGAAAGAGAAGACTGGACTAGGAGTTCCCACTGCCTTCAACTGGCTTCTCTTTCTTGCACTTAGTACACTTTTAAAGCACTTGCTCTTATTTTCCCTGCTGGAAACAGAAGCTTATAGAGGTTAAAAAGCTTGTCCAACATCTCAGGGAAGCCAGAAAAGATGTGGGATGGAGTATGAAACTATTAGGGTTTCCTGCCCAACTCAGTAGGCCTTGTTTAGAAAGTTTGAGAACATGGTTAGTAATTATCAGTAGTAGCCAATCACTGTAGCCAAGTTATGGATGCAATGGAAACGCTCTTGAAGGAAATTAAAAGTGCTACTTTAGTGAGGACATGAATCACATAAAAAAGTGAAATAGCCTTATTGCTGATATGCAGAAAGTCTGAGTGGTCTGCAGATGAAACCAGCCAGAACATTGCCTTAAGCCAAAAACCTGATCCAGAGCAAGGTCCTAACTCTTCAATTCTAGAAGAGCTAAGAGAAGTGAGAAAGTTGCAGAAGAAAAGTTGAAAGCTAGAAGAGGCTGATCTATGAGGTTTAAGGAAAGAAGCCATCTTCATGACACATATCTCTACCAGAGTTCTTGGGTAACTAGGTGCATTGTCAATGAATGGTAATAATTTGAAAGGAATCTTTCTTTCCATATAGTAAGTCTCAACAGTGGACTTCAAATATAGAAGACTCACCATTCCAGATGCCATTAAAAACATTTGAGATTTATGGGAGGCAATCAAAATAGCAATATTAACAGGAATTTGGAAGGTGATTCCAACTCTTATGGATGGCTTTGAAGGGTTCAAGACTTCAGTGAAGGAAGTCACTGAAGATGTGGTAGAAATATAGGAAAAGAATTAGAATTAGAAGTGGAGCCTGAAGATGTAACTGGATTGCTGGAATGTCATGATAAAACTTGAACAGATGAGGAGTTGCTTCTTAGGGATGAACAAAGAAAGTGTGTTCTTGAGATGGAATCTACTCCTGGTAAAGATGCTGTGAATGTTGTTGAAATGACAACAGAGAATTTAAAATGTTACATAAACTCCGTTGACAAAACAGGAACAGAGTTTGAGAGGACTGACTCCAATTTTGAAAGCAGTTCTACTGTGGATAAAATGCTATCAGAGAAATCTTTTGTAAAAGGAATGGTCAATTGATGTGGCAAACTTCATTTTTTCATAAGAAATTGCCACAGCCACCCCAACTTTCAGCAACCACTACCCTGATCAATCAGCAACCATCAACATTGAGGCAGGACTCTCCACTAGCAAAAAGATTATGATTCGCTGAAGACTCAGATGATTGTTAGCATTTTTTAGCAATATATTATTTTTTAATTAAAATGTTTAAGTTGTTTTTTAGACATAATGCTATTGCACTTAATAATGCACAATGTAAATGTAACTTTTACATACACTGGGAAACCAAAAAAATTGCGTGACTTGCTTTATGGCGATATTCTATGGCGATGGTCTGGAACCCAACCTTCAATATCTCCAACATATGCCTGTAAGTGGCTGATGACATATCAAAAATGTGACACAATTTATTTTTTTTAGAATCTTCTTTCCTAAGACTAATTGACTGGGTTATTTGTTGCCAAATCTTTAAAACTAGCTTTGTTTGGTGATCCAAGTCTCCATATTAAAGGCAATATCAATTAAGATAAAATGCTAATGTTACCTTAGATGTAGAAATGGCAATTCAATTATTTACTGATTTCTGACCCTTAATAGAGAAGTTCCTCAGCCATCTCTTTCTCTCTCCTGCCTCTTTCTCCCACACACACCCCACAGTAACTCACTCATAATCTTCATTTCCAGAAAGAAAAAAATTAATTTGAACTATCACACTTATAAATTAAATTGGTTCAATTCATACACTTTAAAGTATTGACCTACTGCATTCAGATTGAAGGTAAAAATGAAAGTTTATCTTCTCTGATTGATGTTCTTCACTATATATGAATCCTTAATGTAAGTATATTCTAGATTTGACATGAGAAAACATTATATTAAAATTTTTTCAACTTATATGCTTGTTTTCAGAGAAATTATTTTAGCTAAGAAACTAGTAAGATGGAGCCAGCATGCTATTATCATAAAGTCAATAATTACAGTAGTACATATTGAAAATCTAGGAACCACATGATTGGCTATAAATCTTTGAGGCTACTCAAAGCAAGTTAATTATAATACATTGCTGATGTAAGCATTTGGCTTCTCTGGTGAATAAAATAACCTACAGCTTTTGACATGATTTAAGGAGAAGAAAGGAGAAAGATGAAATTATCTTTGCTAATGCAGTGAACTAAAAATATCTCCTAAACTCCAAGTCATTTTCCAAAGTGGAAAAGTTCCTTCACTGAAAAATACATTATAGTTCCAATTTCAACCAAGAAAGCTAAACCTTTCTTTTTTTAAATGGTGGTTCAGAATTCAAGAAAAAATTTACAGCAGAAATAAAAGAATGAATGAAGAGCCTCAAGAAATTACAGAGAATATTTGAAAGACGGTCGTTCTAACTAGTAATTCTAAGTGGAGGTCAGCCTTGGTTCTCAGTATCATTTATTTCTTGGACTTAGCTTTTACCTGGTTTGCTATGATTTTTCAGTCACTAGATAAGTCAGATAATTTCAGGGAAAGATATTTCACTCAAAAAATATCTCTTTTCATTTGCATTGTCCCTTTTCCATTCTTTTCTGATCTGCGATATCACACTATTATTTCTCTATGTCCTCTCTCCCTACCTAATACCAACAAATTCAGACCTCTTGCTCTGGTAAAATGAACGCATTTGAACTTTCCTATATGCTACTTACATTTTTCTCTCCCTCCACTCAGCAAAATGCCTGGCACAATATGCAACCAGTAATGATCTGTAGCTCTACCTAGAAAGTCTCACATATTTTTTGGGGGCTTTTTTTCTAAAAGCCATGAACCTCACTTTGAAAATACTACTTCAAATTCACTTCTTTGAGGCAGTCATTCCAGACCATCTGTGTCTATTCACTTGGGGCTACCACAAAACATGTTTAGTTTGTATCGTATAACTTGTCCTTGTTGGGTTGTTTCCTTATAAAAGTATTCTTCAATATCATGTTTGCTTATGTTCTGTCTTCCACTTGGGAAACTAAAGTTTTCATGCTGTTTCATTCCACAGTGCCTAAAATAGTCTTCCACACACAATGTGTACTCAAAATAAGGCTGCCTCAAACTTTTCTGAAAACTGTCTACAAATATATTTTCATAATTGTGAATTAAAAAGAAATACTTACTGGTCTATGTACCTGGTTTCTGACATGGAACTCCTAAAATCCTTGTAAACAGAGGCACTACAATAATCTTCTGTTCTAATATTTGGGTCTTCAACCCTGGTTCCTGACATTGAGCTCTTAAAACTTTTTGTAATTTCCTAAGTACTATGAGAGCCTTAAATGCAACTCCTAAATCCCTGAAATTTCCTGGGAGCTAGGAGCATCTTTTGTCTTAATGGGTAGACTCCTGGAAAGCCTCAAGATGGGAGCTGGCTGCCTGGGAAACCAACCATGTGATTAGAGGATTGGAACCCAAAGCCCCTTTCCCAGACCTCCGGGGACAGGAGAGGCTGAAAGTTGAGCTGCTCACCAATGGTCAATGATGTAATCAATCACACATACATAATAAAGCCCCCATAAAAACCTAAAAAGACATGGTTTGAAGAGCTTGTGGAAAGCTGAACACATGAAGGTGTTTGGAGGGTGATGCAATCACTGAGGTCATGGAAGCTCTGCACCCCTCTTCACATAGTTTGCCCCCTATGCATTTCTTCCATCCAACTATTTATCTGTATCCTTTATCCTTTATAATAAATTGATAAACTTAAATGTCTCCCAGAGTTTTGTGAGCCATCCTAGCAAATTTTTGAATCCAAGAAGGAGGTTGTGATAACCCTGATTTATAGGTGGCTGGTCAGAAGCATAGGTCACAACCTGGAATTTGCAACTGGCGTGTGAAGTAGGGGGCAGTCTTGTGGGATTAAGCCTTTGACCTGTGGAGTCTACCCTGAACTCCAGGATGCATCAGATTTGAGTTGAATTGTAGGACACACAGTTGGAGTTGCTGTAGAGTTGGTTGTTGGTGAGAAAAAATCTTACATTTTAGTGTTCTGAGTTGAGCGGTAAGACTGGGAAAAAGTTTGATTCTTCCTATCTCATGCAATAATTTAAAATATGTATGATAATTCTATATATTTAAAGATGATAGACTGAATACATGCAGTTAGTTCCTTTTGAATTCCCTAAAATAACAACAAAGAGGGTTTTTGTATGTGTGCTTGGTTGTTTATTAAGGCATAAGTCCAGACAGAAAGAATAGAAATCAGAGACAAAAGCAACAAACTTTAGGAGCTGACAAGGCAGAGAGAAGACTGGTAAATGACTCAACAGACCCAAGATAGCTAAATGGTAAGCAAGAAGTGTAGAAAGCCAAGAGCCAACATGTTTATAATACAAAATTCCTTTAAGGCTCAGAAACCAGCAGGACCAAGTACCTGTGGCATCAGAGTCAAGGTAGAATTAAAATTACCTTCTCAATAAAAGTTCATTTAAGAAGCTTGGATAGGTCTTCCCATTCCCCTGATGTCCTCCCCTACTTAGTACAGCCACATGACTGACACTTTCCCATATCAGCAAAATATAAGAAGTCTGCTCTCTAGAGGGTAAAGAGAGGGTCTTTGGATTGGATCTATGCTATAGACTGAATCGTGTCCCCTCACCAAACATATATGTTAAAGTCATAACTCCCAACACCTCAGAATATGACTATAATTGGAAATAGGGTCTTAATTTAAAAGGTAATTAAGGTGGCTCTAATTGACCATGACAGGTATTTTTATCAAAAGAGGGCATTAGGACACAAACACACAGAAGGAAGTCCATATACAGAAACAGGGAAAAAGGAGGCCATCTACAAGCTAAAGGGAGAAGTCTCAGAAGAGATCAACTCTGCAAAAGACACTCAGTCTGTGGTGGTTTGTTACTGCAGTCCTGGCAGACTAATATCACATTCTAAGCAAAAAAAAAAGAAAGGAAATGAAGTGACGCTTACAGATATACCAGAAGCTAGGCCCAGCCTTCTTCCCCACATGGCTTCTGAAATGCTGGGTACAAGGTAGAAGATTGTTCACTCTAGGGACTCTTGGCATTGGACTTTTCCCAAAGAAATGTTCCAGCCATATAGTGAATATAACTGTTGACAAGCCACACCCACATGCACAGTTTCCAATTAGTTTTACAGTCCCACCCTGAAATATGAGCAGATAGTAAAAGATTAGGAAACATTCAAAGAAAGTATTTAATATTAAAGACACCATAACAAACAACAAACTTCAAGGACACAGAAGTTATACAGTGAGAAGAAAACATTATCAGTCATTCTTTAAAAGATAAGTTAATAAGAATAAGATGCTAAAACAAAAGAAAAGAAATCAAAGGAGTTATAGAAGTTAAAAATATGAGTAGAAATGAGTAACTCAACAGAAGAGCTAGAAGACACAGCTGAAGACATCTCCCAGAAAGTAGAACAAAAGGACGAAACTGAAAATAAGAGAGAAAAGATAAGATAATTAGAAGACTAGTTGAGGAAGTTCAATATGTAGAAAGTTAAACAGACCATGGGAAGAAGAAAAACCAACAGTAATTTCCAAGACCTGAAGGTCATAAGTTTCCATATTGAAAAGATTAGCACAAAAAATGTACACCCAGCATAAATGATGAAAAATGATCCGTGTTCTGGCACATCATTGTGAAATCCAAAACACTTAGAACAAGGAACAAATATTACCAGTTTCCAAAGAAAAAATACAGGATGTGTTCACTTTGCAAAATATCAAGTAGAGCACTTCTACTTGTACCCTTTTCTATATATATGTTAAAATTAGGTAAAAAGCTTTTTGGAAATGAAAGGAAATGAATGGTATCATCTTTTAGAAAAGATATGGTTTGGATCTGTGTCCCCACCCAAATCTCAGCTTGATTTGTAATCCCCAGTGTTGGAGGTGGGGCCTGGTAGGAGGTGACTGGAGCCTAAGGGTGGATCCTTCATGAATGGTTTAGGACCACCCTCTTAGTGTTGTTCTCCTGACAGAGTTCTCACAAGATCTGGTTGTTTAAAAGTGTGCAGCACCTCCTTCATCTCTCTCCTCCTCTTACCCTAGCCATGTAAGGTGTGCCTGTTTTCCCTTCACTTTCTGCTACGATTGTAAGTTTCCTGAGGCTTCCCCAGAAACCAAGCGAATGTCAGCACCATGCTTTCTGTACAGCCTGTGGAATCATGAGCCAATTAAACCTCTTTTTTAAATAAATTATCCAGTCTCAGGCATTTCTTTATAGCAACATGAGAGCACACTAATATAAGAAGTAAACTGAGAAACTGTTTTAATTAAGTAGAAAAATAGTAAACATGTCTTCCTTAACAGGAAAAATATCAGACATACAAAGCATAAACTTAAACTTAAAGTTTTGTGTCTTTCACAAAAGAGGAACTGAAATAGTAAATCGTTGATCAACAGTCTAAGCACAAGTGGGTTTCACCATTCAGGTATCATTATGTAATGAGTTTGCTATGCTTAAATATTAGATAGAGTCTGAAATTTAACTTCTATGGGGGAAAAAAAAGCAGGATAACAGACAAAATGTCCCTTTCAAACTCCCTAGAAGTAGATACAAGGACCCTTCAGCTCATTTCAAAGTAGCCTTCCAAACTCTGGTACAAACATGCAGCTAACAACAATTTCATGAATATGAAATTAACATTATAAAAGAATACAGCATACCCGTATCTTTCCTTGGAATAAGTGAATGATGATTCTCCAGGGGATGGCCAAGAAAGTTCCAAGAAGTATTCTCTTTTTTCTTTAGAACAATCTCTATTTTTCCCACACTTTCAATAACCCGCACTGAAAAGAAGATAAACTCCATTTGTATTCATCAATACTAAATACAGGGTTTTATTTTAAAACCAGTATTTCTCACACAGTACAAGTGTCCTGATCTAATATGAATGGCACTGATTATTAGCTGGATAAATAAGATTTTGTTTACATATTCAATCACAATCATAATTGTTTATGCTTTATATGGTACTAAAGACAGCTTATTTTTATTTATTTTTTATTTTATTTTATTTTTTTTGAGACAGTGTTTTGCTCTTGCTGCCCAAGGTGGAATGCAATGGAGCAGTCTCAGCTCACTGCAACCGCTGCCTCCCAGGTTTAAGCAATTCACCTGCTTCAACCTCTCAAGTAGCTGGGATTACAGGCTAGTTTTGTATTTTTAGTAAAGGATGAGTTTCTCCACATTGGTCAGCCGGGTCTCGAACTCCCAACCTCAGGTTATCTGCCTGCCTCGGCTTCCCAAGTGCTGGGATTACAGGCATGAGTCTCTGTGCCCAGATGCTTAATTTATTTTTTTAACAGATTCAAATTAACTTCTTTCTAACTAATTTATTAAGGGCCAAACTACTATGTATTGCTGGTTTTCAAACAAGCTCAAATATAGCCATGGCAACTAACTGATACAAAGCTTAAAAAAAGAAAAAAAAAGAGCTGAGATGTACAAATTAGCTATTGAATGCCCCCACAAAAGCAAATTACATTTTTTTAACATTCCTTAGTGAGAATTTGAAGGATTCTTATGAGTAAATTCAGTAGACTAATCCTGAGCCTAATAAACACAAAAATAGATTCATGAGAATGAGTTCCTAGTAAACAGTAAACTAATGAAGTGCATGTAAATTTTTAATGAAAATTTTTAGATTATCTTTTTATTTTTTGAATAATTAAAATGTTTACAATATGTGGGTATAATAATAAAACACATGCTTTCATAAGCTGATTTAAATTTTATGAATTGAACATGCTTTTATATTTTTCTTCAGAGACAACATTCTGTTCTCCCTCACTGTAAACACAAAACCCAGTGACAATTTAACAGCTTTTTAAAGATAGATGAGTCAAATGAATTCAATTTGATGAGCACTGATTTGAAGCTTAACCAAAATAAACATGGTCTTTGTCTTTAAAGAGCCTGATCTATATAATTTACAGAATCTACTATGATATATGGAAAAGAGGAAACATTGGACCAGTGTAAGGTATGCTGACAGTACTTGAAAACAAGAAAACACCATTCTATAATCAGTCTTCTATTGTTAATATGGTAACATGCAGCTGTGTAAAACCTTGCTGCATGTTTACATGCAATATTCATAATTTAGTATGCTCTGTCAACATTAAACATTTAAGTATATAGATGAAAGAAAATCTGTCTAATATAGTATATTTCTACAAACTGTATGTCAAGAGTAGGGCAGATATAAGGAAGGAAGAATAAAAAGCAGACAAAAATTTTTTTTAAAGGAGAAAAAAAAGAGTTTAAAGAGATCAAAAGAATAAGGGGGTCCAGCCTGGGCAACATGGTGAAACCCTGTCTCTACAAAAAAAATTAGCCAGGTGTAGTGGTGTGCGCACTGTGATCCCAGCTACTTAGGAGGCTGAGGCGGGAGGATCGCTTGAGCCCGGGAGGCAGAGGTTGCAGTGAGCCAAGATTGCGCTGCTACAGTCCAACCTGGGTGACAGAGTGAGACACCGTCTCATAAACAAAAAAGGGAACAACGGGGACGATGAAACAGGCAAAAACCTGAAACCAGAGGAATATATTTAAAAATTAATGTATTTGTTTTTATCTGTACAACAAACCCTCATGACACACATTTACCTATGTAACAAACCTGCACAGCCTGCACATGCATCCCTGAACTTAAAGGTTAAAAAAAAAAAAAGAGAGAAAGCATCACATCTTTCTTTTGCAACATGAAAACATACATATGAAAAATAAAACAAATGCTAATTTTTTCATTTTTTCTTATTCTTCTCTCTCTCTCTGTAGGTATGTGTTTATGTATGTACACACATAATAAATTCTGGTTTTTGGTAGCTTACCAGAAAAATCTTCCTGAACCTCACGGCTTAGCCCTAGGATAGAAAAATTTATTTAATTAAAATAGAACTTCAATTAATACAGTTTTTGAACACAATATGTCATTTACATGGCTCTTTTATGAATTATTTCAAATCCCTCAAGACAAATAAAAAGTATTCTGAGAGATCAAAGAAATTGTACACAAAATAATCGAATTATTTAAATGTATATTTTTTCAATCATTTCATTTTTCTCCCTATGAACTAAAGAGCAAATACTCAATTGCCCACAAGTGGGTAACCCACACTAGTCCAAGCGTGGATGGTTCCACACTGGGAATCCTATAAACCAAGAGAGGAGTAGGCTAGGGAGAGGCAGCACCTGAAGCATGCAAGCGTGCGTGCGTGTGTGTGTGTGTGTGTGTGTGTGTGTGTGTGTGTGTGTGTACGCGTGCGTGTGCCTGCGTCTAGCTTAACTTTTCTTATTGTTCTCCAAAGTTGAATACCCATTCAGTTATTGAAAAGAAAAATTATTGAGCATCTACATGTGACAGGTACTCTTTAGGTGTTATGGACACAATATTTAATAAGACAGAAAAATTCCTGCCCCTTTGGAACTTATATTCTAGAAGGTGGTGATGTAAGAAATATGCTTACAAATGTCTGCTGTAAATTTCACTGTGTTCATATGTTTATCTGGAATTTAAATTTTGCATTATTTCAGTCCTTTCAATGCAATATTAGCAACCAAAAGTTTTGTATTTTTAACTGTGGAATATTTAATTTTTTAAAATAAGTGTGCTAGTGTAGAGATCCCTGGTTTCTACTACCGTTTTCTCTGTCCTGATAAAAAAATACAAAGTTGGTCTTTAGCCATGAAGGACAGACAGCTGGGGGATACAACACAAATCTGTAGTCCAGGCTGCTTTGCTGCACCCACTGACTTTCTACGGCAGAGCTGGCAAGGAACAGACCAGTGGAATGAGCCATCTAGCGAAGGACAGTCAGTAGAAGCATGTGACCAATGGGCCTTGGAAGACTCACTTGTAGGTGTCAGGTATGAGAGATTTTACAAAGCTGGGCCAACAAATACTTTATATTATTGATTTTGATTGCATGTAGTTACTTAAACTTGGAAAGGTGAGGTCACACCACCACTTGCTAGTACTTTTATTAGTGTAAAGAAATTACAGGAAAAAAACTGATCAAAAATGACAAACCAAAATGATAATGGCAGATAAAATATTACAGTTACCTGGACTGTAGACCAAGTTATTGCCATATTTAAAGAAAATCAGAGCTCTTTCATTAATAATAAAGTACTCACCAATATGTATAAGATATAAACAATCCTTAATAATTGTTTCTGCTCTAAAGGAATCATCCTGACGATCAACTATTATTGAGTCTAAATTGATATCCTGAAACAGAAAGCAAAAATAGAAGATTAGAAAGTAAAAATTTCCCCTAAACGTTTACAACTAAACTTTTAAGGTGATCTGTGGACGTTCATATGATGCTTCTTTATTGAACCTCCAAGCTAAACAAATGTTACTTCTGTTTTTCTCTCTTATGACCCAGTATTTCTTCAATACACGTATCAAAATTTTAATTACCATATATTTGTCTCTGTTTAATATCTACCTTATCCACTAATATCTAAGCTCTAAGGTTAAGGAGCTATCTTTAGAACATTATTTGGCACCTAGCAAGTGCTCAATAAATATTTTTTGAATAAGCAATATGTAACTCCACCCCCCAGAAAATTACAATCAGACTAGGAACTAAGATATTTGTTGTTCATCTTTATCTTTCCACTAATGTGGTCTGGGCAAATTACATAACCATTTGACCTCAGCTTACAAAAAAAAAATCAATTCACTAACATATTTTTAGATGTCTCTAATTTCTACATAGCCTTGGTGTAAGATATATATTATTTATATTACTCACTGAATATATTATTCCTTTCCTTTTCCCTTAGCCATCCATGCTCTATGCCCCACTGATATTACCAGTGGGAGTAGACCTCCCTAGAGCCTGTGTTCTGGGTTTTGAGCTGTGTGAAGAGACAATATCAGGAGGGAGTGGAAAGCAGGATAAGTAGCACCGCTGGCCCTCTTGGCTTTTTTCAGGCAGAGGCTGATCTACTCTGCAGAATGGCCAAATCATGCTGCAAGAGTCAGAGGAACCCACTGGTTCAGACATGGTTCTGCCGCTACAGAAGTAGCATGAATTCTCAAAAATTCCTAGTTGCCAGAACTTGTCTTTAAATCTACATATCCCTCAAAGTATGGGAACCTCAACAGTTGCTGGAGGATGTGCTTAGAGATATTATAAACTGTCTGCATATTTATTTACAGCTGGGCTGTAAGCTCTTTAAAAGCTAGGTCTCTATATATCTGGCCCATCATTAGATCCCTGATATCTAAGACTATGTTCCATATGAAGCAGGTTACATAAATACTTAGTGAATGAATTATCTCTGTAACTTTAGTTTCAATGATGAGTGAATTATCTCCCTAACTTCAATTTCTAATGGGCATCTGAACACCATTAGTGGTTTAAACATACTAAACAACAGCAAAATACTTTCTCCAATACCAGCTTATGTCCGGAAAATTTGTTCTTATGGTGAAGTTAACTAAGATTCATTTTTGTTATCCATGCTTTAAACAAACACACATACACACACACAGGTAAACACATAAAATACTTCCTACTCTCATTTTTGAGAGGCTATAGCAATGGCCGTCAAGAGCATATGCTCTGGAACCAGACTACCTGAGTTCCAAATGCCAGATCTGCCCACTCAGTGTGCGACTTTGCATGAATTACTTTATCTTTTCTATGAGAGGGATAACAATAATATGTACCTCAAAGAATTGTAGTGAGAAGTAAATAATATAAAAACGTGCTTAGAAAAAGACCTGGTACATAAATTAGCATTTATTATTTACTTCTTTTTCTGATAAAGACATATTTACCTTCTGTTTAGTATATATGGCAATGGTGACTAAAGAGTCTGTTTGGAACCAATCATAGCTGTAAAATATAAGGAAAATGATGAATAATTATATTGACAATCATGTGCATTAACACATATTAATCATTAAATGTTTAAAATTTATAGTGAGACATATCTCTATTTCTCTAGGTTAAGTATTTCTTCTAAATAAAAAGTGGTCTTACCATGTTACATTCTTTATTATACTGCTGACAACTATTTCTAAATTCAAAATATCTACACTTCCATGTATTCCCACTTGAATAAAAACAAAGTATCCTTAACAAGACACTTTTTATAAAGGCTACACATCTCTTTACTAAAATCTTATTTTATCAGAGCAAAAACAAAACACAACATATTTTGTTAAGGAGCATGAAAAAATGTACACGTTTATTATCTTCACTCTTCCCTATCACAAATATATTAGTACTGAAGAAATGAATTCACCAAGGTTGTTTAATGGATCCACAGTAAAACTTAAAATGAAACCAAGTCTTCTGTTTTGTTATAGTTATTGATCAATTTGATACTCTTTTTGCACTTACTACCCTACATATAGGCCAATCTATAGGAGGCTTTCTTAGTCCCTAACTTAAAATTGTATATGAAATAATTTAACAAATATAGCAGGATGCTGCTGTTAGAATAATATAAACTGGTGGTGGGGAGAAAAGGGGTAAGAGAGAGAACTACAGAGAACACACCTGAAGGTATTTTAAGTGTCATTAACAAAACATGCATGTATTGCTTAAGTTAATGTTAACTGTTTATGACAATTATTGGGCAATATATTTTGAAAATTTTTCATTAAAAATTGATAAAAATGAACTAGATATAAAAAATAGAATATTTAAATACATTATGGCAGGGTAATATGAGGGAATGCAGAGAAAAAAGGCTTTCACAGAATATTTAATGGCATAGGAAAATGCACATAGAATATACTGTCATATCAACATTATAAAACAGAATAATATGGAAGTAAGTATTATATTAATCAAACTGGAAAAAAAATAATAGTATATATCTAAGGATGGTGAGATTACAACTGATTTTATAACTTTCTTTTGTATTTCTCTATATTTTCTAAGTTTTCTACCATTAATGTATTTTTTTTATAATCAGAAAAATATTTTAAAATAGCTTTTTAAAGTACTGGTATTTAAAATGGATAAAACTTTAGTTATATTTAAAATTCACATTTATGGAACAGCTCATTCTGCAACAAAATCTAATAAATGAGGCACTACAGTTCTTGTATCAAAGATGCATGACTAATAATAAGCAAAAAATAAAATCCAGAGTTGCTTTATTTTTTAAATGTGTACATATTTGTATAGAGCTGATTTAACTTTAGAAATCTTAAATAACAATGCATACCTTGGATAATTAGGACCTTCTTTGGCAAGTGTATCTGTCACCTGGCTCTTGGGAAGCATGCCTTCACAAAGAAAAATAGCTATAGTTCATCTACAAAGTATTTTTAATTTTTTTGTCTTTTTAATTAACTTCTTATTGAAATATTACATACATTCATAGAAGGATACAAATCACAAATGTACTACTCAATATATTTTCACTTGATCTTAGCCAAAAGCCCAAGATAAAGTGAAAGATACCCTTGCAGTCAGCATTCTCTTCACGCCCCCTTTCAATCACCATCCCTACCTCAAGAGTAACATGTATTGTGACTACCAACACCATGGTTTTGCCTGTGTTTGATCTTTATACAAGCAGAATGATAACATATGTTCTCTTTTAGTCTGGCTTTTTGTCCAACATTCTAGACATTACAGTTCTTATGTGAAACAAGCATGATTGACAATCAGCAAAGATCAAATCTGGGCTTGCTGAAATTTTATCCAGGCTATTCAATTCATCAGTAGTTTGGTCCTTTTTGTAACTGAGTAGTATTACATTATATGAATAGTTCACAATTTATTCATTTTCCTGCTGATGAATATTCAGGTTGTTTCCACTTTGGAGCTATTACACACAGTGTTGACATATTCTTTTAAATGTACATGTATATTCTCTTTTTTTTTTTTTTTTGAGACAGACTCTTGCTCTCTTGTGCAGGCTGGAGTACAGTGACACGATCTCGGCTTATGGCAACCTCCACCTCCTGGGTTCATGTGATTCTCCCACCTCAGACTCCTGAGTAGCTGGGACTACAGGTACGCCCTACCATGTCCGGCTAATTTTTGTATTTTTAGTGGAGACGGGGTTTCACCACACTGGCCAGGCTGGTCTTGAACTCCTGATCTCAGGTGATCTGCTCACCCTGGCCTCCCAAAGTGCTGGGATTACAGGCATCAGCCACCACATCTGGCCCGTAAATGCACATCCTTAAAGAACACATATCTACATTTCTGGTTAGTAGGAAGGGTGCTTTAGCAGATACTACTCAACAGCTCTCCAAAGTGGTTGTACCAATTTACACTTTTACTACAGTAAAAGTGTTTGGAAGCTCCAGCTGCTCTACAACCTCACCAACATGTAGTCTTCTGTCTTTCCCCATTTTACTCACTCTTGTGGGTATGCATTCTTGTGCGTATGATGCATTTTAAAAGCCCACTAAAGCTACGATTTTAAAATCATTTCAGAAAACTCTGGGACATGGATTAACTCAAGATAATGCAAACATTAAGTATTTTCCTCCTACAATAGGAGTGCGTTGTTTGTATATGGTAAGATTTAGTTTGGAAAAAAGAAGTACTGCTGCTAAATGACATTTGAAAATCATTGCATGAATTATATCCATCTCAAAGTATGCTGGAAAAAAATTAATGGTTAATATCTGCTGAATCTTGGGTTCCCAAATCAGAAATCACAGTATTTTACACAAATTTAAGTGTTGGGAGACACCTTTGGGACAAGATAGTTTAGAGGTTTCCAAGATTCTTTTTAGACACAAACCTTTTGTTTAAAGACAAGCTCAAGAGCAAGCAAGATGTAAAACAGTCATATTTTTCTGGATGGACCAAAAGCCCTGAGTCCAGGCCTTACTCATTCAGCTTCCCTTTCTTCCCACATAACTGTGCAGAACACTATTTTCAGATAAACAAAGGAAATCTCAGAGATGTGACAACAATGTCAGAGTTCTGAACTAATAATTAGCAGCGGCCACTAAAAGAAGAATGCTCTGCTACAAAACTACAGGTAAAACAAAAGAGGACGACAAGAATTAAATGTATTTTTTTCTGAAATGGTAAGAGCAAGACAAAATAATTTCATTAAATTATTTAAGAAACACTCAAAGATTTCACTAAGAGATTAATGTAATTTCTCTTTTGGAAGTCTCTTATATAAATAAAAATCAAATGCATCAAAATCTAAGAATTTCTGTAAGAAAAATCTCTCAATAGAATTCATAAATTTTAAGTCAATATGGGTCTTGTATGACTTAATTAGGACCAGAAAATTGATCTTATGCAAGCCACTGTTTCCTCTTCTTCGAACTGAAGCTATTAACAGCAATGAAATACTCCCTGCAATCTCATGGGTGATCAAATGAGACAATAATCAAACATTCTAAAAAACTATATAGTAGCATTAAGATATATCTTATTAAAGCAGAATAACATAGTAATACATGGAATGTGTCTTAATTTAAAACTAACTAAAAACAACAACAAAAAACCCCAAACGTTACATATTATTATTTTGAATAAGTTGAAAAAATAGGGGGTGAATGTGGAGTGAAATAAAATAAGTAATGCAACGTGGACTGAATGAATGTTCTCTCTTCCATAAGTGTTGACTGACTGACTGACTGCTGCTGATTTGAAGGGATCAGGTCTCTAGTGGAATAGGAAAGCAGTCCAACCCATTCAGTATTTTAAGCAGCTATTGGAATGGTAACATACAATGCAGGCAGATCACATTTGCAAATACAGACTTACCGCATAGACTTAAATAAGCCCAAAGGAAAAGGCAGCTAAAAATATATATATGTAGATGTGTTCCAATCTTATAGGGTCCAGGGTCCAGGTTACAAGAGGTAACAGGGCTAAACACATCACTTGTGGAGTGCTGTATTCCATACTTAATGCCACCTTTAACTGAGAAATTAGTCAAATGCAGTGCATCCAAAGAAGGCAACAGAAAAGTAAAGGTTCTGGAGGCCATATGCGGTGGAAAGGAAATGCCCACTCTATCACTAATTAGTCATTAAGCAATGGTGGTTTCTGCAGTATCACAGAAGAGTCAATAATCAGGCGAAACCAAAGATCAGTCCTTCTTTTAATGGAGTATTATATTATCCAATGAACAACTTCAGGTACCATAAATTGCATGAATTAGTCTACGATATAGACCATTTCCTCCAGTTAACAAAGAAAAAGGTAACTCATCTGGCAATGTAGCTTGTTAGTTGCATTTCTCTAACTTCCTTTTGCAAACAACAGAAAAACTGTTTCTAAGTGTACATCAATATAGTTCAGTCAGAGTTAGCACCATGCATTTTATGTCAGTGTTGACCATCACATCAAGCTTTTTTCTGGGGTAGAGGAAGTATCAGTCATTATTTGCAAGTCATCCAGAATGGTTGAGGAAAACAGCACCACTCAGCTCAGAAAATTGTAGATTAATAAATTATTTGACATGTGTATGCAAACACTGGAGGTAAGCTCACACCTAAGAAAACTGACTTGGTTTTGTCTTGTTTCTGAGGATGAAACTCCTAATCACTACAAGTATTCAAGCTGAGGGGTGATAACATATATTTAGGGTGACAACAGAAAGCACAATTGTAAGAGTAATGGCTAGAATAAGGGGCCTATAAAGCCCTATGAAAGACTCATAAGTTTGGGCCAGTAAAGCTATCTTTCACATTAAAAAAAAAATTCTAAATGTCCTAGACCATTCTGTGAAGCAATACTGTTCATAAGCATGTGAATATCATTCATTTATTATAAATTTATAGACTTACCATTTAAGACTTTCTTTTCCTCCTCACGATAGTCTGTATAGTAATTTAGGAAAAAAAGTCAAATAAAAATACTTTAATGTCAAGGAGAATGTCAGTCCATATTACTGATTTCAAGATGAGAGCCCTTCTTTTTTGAAGGGCTTTCTTCTAAGGCCTGAGGAGAGAAATAAGGCTAATACAAAAATGGCTTTTGTTTTAAACAAGTTTCATCTCTGAAGATTGCCAGACCGTATTTCTCCAGATGTTTGTCTCTCATTTCATTTGGATTTTTTCTAATTCTTTGGTCACCTTTTTCTAATATGTTGGTTAATTGCTATACAGAGCATATGTAAACACCAAGTTTCATCCAGGTTATCATATTTTAAATTAGTCCAAGTTAACCAGAATTTATTAGATTACACTTCATAAATGAAACACACACATTAATAACTCAAAGAAAGATATATCTTTCCCTTTTACTGAGTTCAATGCATAAAATGATCATTATTACAAGTTTAAAGTATGTTCAGATTTTTGCAAGTATACATGTAATTATCAGTGTTACAAACTCAGGAAGAAAAATTAACAGATATTTTATTTCAGGATGGCAGTCAACTCAGAAAGCTATATTATATTCTAATAACCACAAGTGTTGTAACCACTGTAGTCAAAATAAACACCTCAGCAAGTTGTCAAAATTTCAAAAAACAAAAGGGATAAGCTAACAAAAAATATTCAAGTAGTCAAATTCAAAGATATCATTTGTTAAGCTGACATCATCTTGTTTCATACAAAAAGAAACGTATTCAAAATCAAAGCTTTCAAATTTTTGTGTTCCAATTTTTAATCACCAAAAATTCCATAATTAATTCTACTTCAGTCATTCATCTCAAAATGATAATCATTAAGGAAGCCCAAATGACCATCATTTTCCTTTTCCTCATTTTACCAAAATAATTTTATAGCTGAAAGGAATTTTAATAATATACAGCAAATTATCACCTGATCTCCTAATAAAGGCTGAAAATCAGAGGTCAAAGGACTTGAATGAAATCCACAGCTCTCCAGCAACGAAGCCAAAATTAGATTTGTCTCTCCTGAAACATAGTCCTATTTTTCTTGGCAATCCATTGCTAGAGTTAATGTTTCCTAAAAAAATAGTGGGCCTAAAAACCATTTAAATTATACTTCAAAATGAGCTTTATCAACTTGCAGACACAAATCTGGCCATTACAGTTCGCAAAGGATCACTGATGCCCTGCTTAGTCACCTACTTTCATCCAGTCAGTTTTATCTGTCTTTGCTGTTACAGCTGTGATTATTTGTTTTATCTTACAAATTCAAAGAACATAAATTTTTTTGATGGTACACTGATATATATGTTCAGTCAACAATATAGTGAACAGTTTAAGAAATCTCACTTATTTAAAACAATTTTTATCTAAGATAATTTTAAATAATTTTAAAATTATCCCAGGTAATTTGTTTCTAAGAAAAAAAATATTGTCTCATATGATTACTTTTTGCCTGATATCAATAGATTTGAATCTGTCAGAACTTTCTGGATTCTGCAAAATTAGCAGGTTTTTTTTTCCCCTGAGTCTTTTTTTAATACAAGAAGCGCTAGTATGAACAGAACTTCCACTAAAATAATCTGGGTTATCTTTAAAAATTCTCCCAATCTACTTTTACAACTCTTTTCAAAAACTGAGTCATAGAAATGGAGGAGACTGTTTTTCACTCTTAAGCATACTTACATCTGAATCATTTTAGTCACAGGAGACACTTGCCTCCCTGAAAAAAAAATCTGATGTCTTCTCTTGGTAACTAAGTCCATCATTTAGTTGGCTTCATAGCCAATCAAATTTGTAACTTCTCATAACACTGGTTAAACTACAGCTAGTGCTCGACTTACGACCACGATTGGTTCCGACAGACCGGTCGTAACACGATTTGGTCGTAAGTTGAGTAGGCTATATGTACAGTACTGTGAAATGATGTTACAAAAATCTTTAAGTCATATTTTATCATAACTTTCATTATTGTTATATATCATAATTTTCTTTGTTCATTTTATGCCATTTGTATCATCTGTACACCATTTTGTTTCTTATTTTTACATTCGTCAGGTTTAAGTAAAACACTGCATTTCCAGTAGTAAGGGTTGACCTGAATGCTTATTATGAAAGCATTCTTGTCAAATCTCATTTTTAAAAAGGCACCTTAACTTGTGGTAAAGGCGCAGCCTTGTGTAAAACTGTGGAATATTCACAGATCACTGAACCACGGTGGTCTACGGTTTGAAGTGAAAAACCACGGCACATGATGAGTTTTGAAAAGCAGAAGAGTATGAACTATGTTAAGTCTTAGGGTTAAAAAGGACTAGTTGCTAGGTATTTATTTATTATCATTGTAAATAGAAAAGTAAATCATCACAATTTTATGTGACTTTCCATGGGACACAAATATGCAGCATCCATCATAAAAGATGTCATCTGGATATCTTGTTCAAATATAATTTAAACTTAGTATGTTCTAATATTGTTAAAGATATAGGGATATAAACCACTCACATTTTAGTAAGAAAGGCAAGAAAATGACTAATAATGATATGATATAGCATATATGTTTACTGTCCCGCACTGTCGTATGCCCAGCTGGGCAACGTTTGCGCTGCCAGACGCAGAGCAGTCGTGGCTAGCGATTGTGGTCCTAAAGTCGAATGGTCGTAAGTTGCATAGGTCGTAAGTCGATCAATACCTGTATTTACTTTGATAAGAACCTTTATTTCTGGAGAGGTCAGAGTCATTTAGAAGGCTGGTGCCGTGATCTAACAGCATGCAGCCCTTTCTTGGTAAGGATCTTTAATTACGACCCAAATCTAGTTTACCTCTGCTGAGCAGAGGCACAGGAGGATATCCTGTAATAAAGAAAGATCTAGTAGGGATAAAGAAAGATCTAGTAGGAAGATCTTTCTTTTATCAGTATGCTCATTCTTTTAATAAACATCTATTGATCATATTAATGGGATATTGGCATAATATGATACCATTTGGATACAAAGTTAGGAAAATAAGAAAATATATTCAGTCTGCTTATCATGTATAATTTGGAGAGAGTCACAACAACAACAACAACAAAAAACATGTCCTTGGTGTATGCATAGGAGCGGAAAACAGTAGGTGGGAGGCAGAACTATGGTAAGGGCACTTCTTGAATCATGTGAGTGCATTACATATTCAAAAATACAATAAACAGAATTAAAAGTAAAGTCAATAGGCTCCTTTTTTACTTTTCTTTTTTTCTTTCTTTTTTTTTTTTTTCTTTTTTTGAGACAGGGCCTTGCTCTGTCACCCAGGCTGTATGTAGTACAGTGGCTCTGTCTCGGCTCACTGCAACCTCTACCTCCCGGGCTCAAGCAATTCTCCCGCCTCAGCCTCCCAAGTAGCTGGGACCACAGGCACAGACCACCAGGAGTGGCTAATTTTTTTTTTTGTAGAGACAGGTTTTCACTATGTAGCCCAGGCTGGTCTTGAACTCCTGAGCTCAAGCAATCTGTCTGCCTTGGCATCTCAAAGTGCTGGGATTACAGGTGCTAGCCACCATGCCTGGATGATACGCTCTTTTTTTTTTAGTTATTATACTTTAAGTTCTGGGGTACATGTGCAGAATGTGCAGGTTTGTTACATAGGTATACACGTGCCATGGTGGTTTGCTGCACCCATCAACCCGTCATCTATATTAGGTATTTCTCCTAATGCTATCCCTCCACTAACCCCTCGCCCATAACAGGCGATGGTGTGTGATGTTCCCCTTCCTGTGTCCATGTGTTCTCATTGTATAGCTTCTACTTATGAGTGAGAAAATGCAGTGTTTGGTTTTCTGTTTCTGTGTTAGTTTGCTGAGAATGATGGTTTCCAGTTTCATCCATGTACCTGCAAAGGACATGAACTCATCTTTTAAGGCTGCATAGTAACTGATGTTGTATATGTGCCACATTTTCTTTATCCAGTCTATCATTGATGGGCATTTGGGTTGGTTCTAAGTCTTTGCTACTGTGAACAGTGCTGCAATGAACATACACGTGCATGTGTCTTTACAGTAGAATGATTTATAATCCTTTGGGTATATACTCAGTAATAGGATTGCTGGGTCAAACGGCATTTCTGGTTCTAGATCCTTGAGGAATCGCCACACTGTTTTCTAATATGATTATACTAATTTATACAACCACCAACAGTGTAAAAGTGTTCCTATTTCTCCATATCCTCTCCAGCATCTGTTGTTTCCTGACTTCTTAATGATCGCCATTCTAACTGGCATAAGATAACATCTCATTGTGGTTTTGATTTGCATTTCTCTAATGATCAGTGACGATAAGCTTTTTTCCATATGTTTGTTGGCTGCATAAATGTCTTCTTTTGAGAAGTGTCTGTTCATATCCTTCATTCTTTTTAAGACAGTGTGTGGTAAGTGTTGTAAAAGAGGTATGCAGAAGGTGTTACTGAAGCACAAAAGAAGAACGTCTCAACTGGAAGAAATTTGAAAAGACTCCATAGAAGTAGTATTTTAGCTAACTTTTGAAAATGTATAGGCATTTTTCAGGAGTCCCTGAAGAAAAGAATTCTAGGGAAAAAAAAATGCTGCACATTAATTGAAGGTTTTACAATTATCTTATAGCTACATTCCTCATCTCCCTTTCTTATTCCAAAAGGCTGGTATTATGTCACCATCAGATATGACCTCAGTCTTGTTGCCAGGGATCTTATTCACAAAGTCCTAAATTTACTGTTCTATATTCCCTTGCCTGCTTAGCTTTGCCAGAAGGCTTCTTGGTTCTGCATAATGTGTTTAATAATCATTTTTCCTCTAGAAATTCTTCCATATCTCTAAACAGAACTCTTTGTAACACAACTTAGGCCTGGTTCTTTTTTAAAATTAAATATATTTTTTAAATTTTTGTAGAGACAGGATCGCACTATATTGCCCAGACTAGTCTTAAACTCCTGGGCTCAAGCAATCCTTCTGCCTTGGCCTCCCAAAGTGCTGAGATC